CAGCTCGTCATGAGCTGCTGGCCAAGTCTTTTAAGCAAACAGAGGCGCAGGTCTCTTCTGCTGCGTTGGAAGGCAAGAAGCTGGAGTCAGAAGCTGCCCAAGTAGCGCAGCACTTGGAGACAACGCAGCGTGAACGTCACTTGCTTGAAGACGAGATAGCTGCCGAGAAGAACGACCAAACCACCGTACACAAGGCAGCGCACAATCTCACCAAGGAGACCCAGCGACTTGTGTCTCGTGTGCACGAGAAAGAAGTCGAGCTGGCGAATCTTCGCAACGAGATGGCTCGAGTAGGAGTCGACGCACTCAATGTGCAGAACCACACCGCGCAGCTTGTAGAGGCCCAACGAGCCCTCGTTGAAGAGCTCAGGCGAGACGATCAGCGTGTGAAACGTGCCGAGCTGGAGATCCGTCAGCGAAACGATGAGATCGAAAAGAAGATGCTGCGTCTGGATCGTCTTAACAAAAAGTACGAGCAACTTGTGAGTAAGATGGAGGACGCAGACACTGGTCCACTGGAAGCGATCATCAAGAACTTGGTTCGTGAGACCAAGATCGGTCGAGAAGACAACACTGCCAAGCAGAAGCAGTGGCTTAACACCCAAACGGCACTTGTACATGCTGCAAGTGAGGCACAAGAGCTGAGTGACCGCAACCAGGAACGTAAGAGCAAGACGAGCGTTCTGGAACAGAAACAGCTGCGTCTTCAGCATGAGCTGCACGAAATGCAGCGGGAGCTAAGAGATCTCTCGAATGGCATTGCATCTCTCCACGCAGACACTGGAAGACTGAATGATCTTATCGCTCGTCAAGGTTCTCGTCACGACGACTTGCTTAATAGTAATCACGCACTCGAGCTCGAGTTTGCAAGTGAGTTGCGAGAACTTGAGGCCACATCGGTGTCGATGGAAGCTCGAGCTGCTACTCTACGTCAAGAAAAGCAGGAACTACTGGGCCGTGTCGTGGAGGTAGAGCGACAACTCATGCTCTGGGAGAAGAAGATCCAGCTAGAGAAAGAGACGCAAGCTGCTCTTGACCCTGAAGTGGGCCAGGCTGAAGCACGTAGCATGGAGAAGGAGATCCACCGCATGCGTCTACGCCTTGAGACCTTACAACGGAGCCAAGAGCAAATGCTGCAAGATATGGAGCAAGCTGTGCACAAGCGAGACGTCATTGCGCTTCGTGGTCGTAGTAAGAAAGAACAGGAGGCCGACCTCACGTTTGCTGCGCTCACAGCGAAGGTATCTACGCTACAGAATCAACTGCGCAAAAGTGAGCGAGATGCCTCGAGACTGGATAAAAGTATCCGTAAACAACTCGTGGCTGGTGAAGATGTTTCTTTCCAACTGGAGAAAGTCTCAGCTGAGCTTAAAGTGGACGAAGAGCGAGGATTGTCACTCCAACGTGCGATTAATACTGCTCTCTACGATAAGCAGCGATACATTGATGCTGCAGCACGTAAACTTCGTATGACAAAACGCTTCGACTCGCTCTGTCGCGGAGTGGCCAATGGTCCTGCCAATGAGACACAAGCAGCTTCAGCCTTGGAGAAAGCGAAGGAGGGCGTCGAAAAGGTTCGGGCCATCGTTGTCATGCTTCAGAAACAGAATCCTCATTTGGCTGAGGTTCTTCCTCGCGTTTTGTTGCTTGCTGAAAACCCGCCACCAATGGAGAAGTAGTGGCAGGATTCATCATTATTATATTACGCTTTTATTTCTTAAGCCTCGCCGTCGCTCTCGTAGTGCTTCGAGGAACCTCTTCAGTTTGGATGCAACATCTTCGAGATGTGGTTTGCCACTCGTGGTCAGTGCTGTCAGGAAGCGTGGAGGTCTCAGGTACATGCTGTTACATAGATATTAAAGCATACTTCTTGACAAGATAAACGCAATATGAACACGTACTCAATGTAGTATTTTCGCGTTCGCAAGAGTATTGCCAGCACTTGGTCGCTACCCGAAGCAACATCGCACTTCACGAGCAGATCCAGAACAGTCACACATCTCCAAAGTGACAGCACTTGTGCCGGCTTCAAAGCTCCTGTACAAGCAAAACCGTCCTCTTTGTCGTCCGATTCCCCTTGCTCCTTGCGTTGATCTCCCTCGAGCTCGCAGTCCTCAAGTCGCTCGATTGCGATAGCTGCGCGCGATACTGCGATGCAAACTCGCTTAAAAAATTTCGGAAGCCAATCTGGAAACGCTGGAGCTTTAGTTGCTTGCTGCATTACGGACGTGGATCTCTCGATCAACAATCCCCTCATCTGCTGGTGCCGATGCGAACGGAAGTCTTCGTACTGCTGCATAGCATCGAGTGCGAGAAGCACTGCCGCTTGAGCATCGATGAAATCTTCGCGTACCACATGTGTATCGACAGAGATATCTTCAGCTTTATCGTAGCTCTCCACCCCACGAGCAAGTAGGTTACATACTAACTCATGCGGTGCTAATTTATCGAAGCAACTTGTTCGAAGTTGCATGTCAAAGCACATGGCACTAAAAACGCTCGCAATACTGAATAGAAACTCCACTCGCGCCTTAGTGTTGTCGCTTCGACGCAGTGGGATCGAAAGCTGGCGACCTAAAAGAGCAACTAGACCGGTACAGTCTGAGACTTGTGTACGATCTTCAAAGAATAGCTGTCTCAATTCGTCCGAGGAGTACGCAGCGGCAGTAAGCTCTTTAAGCAATCCAGTACGCTCAATGTCGTCACGTGCACGGGCTAGATCCAGCACAAACATCTCCAACAGATTCGTCAATTCGAGACGCTGCTCTAAAGCGTTATCCGCGCGTTGAAGTTGCGGGATCAACTGTCTCTGTAAGATCACAGTTCGTCAGACCCCCCCCTCGGTATGTGTAACACTTGTTTGTTAAAGCCAACCTGGAAGTCGATGCGCAACGCCCGTGAAAGTTGAAAGAAGAGTTGCGTCTGTGGTTCAAACGTCGAGAAGAACACTTCCGACGGCGTTTTCTTGGTTGGCGCCTCTCGTAATTGCAGTCGAAAGAGTTGACTGGTCGGTAGCAAAAGCAGACCTTTTTGCTTCTTGTTTGTAGGCAGCACTCGCTCTACCATGGCGACATTCCGCAGCGGTAAACACCTATCCGGATCAACTCCGCCTCGACTCATAAGCGGCACGATGAACAGTGTATCGCTGCTCAACGCGAACAAGTGGAACTGCCCAGTGCTCACCACTGCAGCTTCATGGTATCGCAGCTTGTTGAATATCTCTGAACCAAGTCTGGCTCGTAGCCTCTCGGGGTCTAAATGTCGGGGTCGGCACAACGTTGGTGACAGCATCATTACAATCTTCTGGTTAATAGGGATTCGTGAGGGGGGGGGGGGGTAAATGACAAGCAAGGGCCCTGGACTCTCGAGGCTCTGTTTTGGTCTATTGAGAGTATTAATACATCCACCGATCATTCGTCTTCAGTCTCTACGTCGTCCTCGTCTTCTTCTTCTTGGCTGCTATCGTCACCATCGACCTCCACTTCCTCTTCTCCTTCGTGGTACACCACAGCGGCGCGAGTCTCGTCGTCTTCCTGTTCGTTGTTGCCATTGTTGACGTGGATCTGACCCAACACGAGCGCCAGGCGACCCGACAGCTTCTGCATCTGTTCATGCACCTGCAATCTCGTCTCCAAAAGCTGGTACAACGCTGATAGACTAGGCACGAGATCGGGCTGAGCCACTAGGTACGCCGTGTGATGCAGCAGCACCGCACGCAGCCACGGACACAGACGTGCGAACCGGTTCGGCGAGCGCTCAAGCTTCCGAACGATCACTTCCAGCAGCGCCAGGACACGGGACGCCGGCACGCGAGCCACAGTCTTGGCTACCACTTTTACGTCACGCGTACGCAAGCAGTACTCCAATAGAGCGTTGTCACGCGCCTGTAGAGCCTGCTCTAGAACACTAGCCAGCGACGAAGCATCAGGCTTGTTGTCCTTATCCTCCGGGGCGTCGGCGTCACGCTCCGCACGGCTAAGAGCAGCAGTCACGTCACCTTCGACGCGTTCACGTAGAGCCTCGACACGTTCTGCGAGCGTCAGCTCGTCCTCTTCGTCCTCGTCACCGTCCAGGTCCTCAAAGCTGGTGGTGTCGTCTACGACTGCCATGGAGTTGGCTAGTGCACGACGTTCACTCAGTGTCGGCACGTGGGTCTTCTCGTCTTCAGCAGTAGCTTCCACCTTCTGTCGCTTGCCGTTCTTGTCGGCACGCTCAGCCGTGAGTAGTAGAGCGTCACTGATCTCAGTAAACTCGAGCTCTTTCTTCCATTGACTCGGCGTATTCTCCTCCACAGGGGAGACTGTCTCGAACACAGGCTTGACGAGAGATCCACGCGCCACCAGCACCTCCGTCTTATCCTTCTGCGTGCTAAGCTCAGCTAATAAGATGCCAGCACTCTCCGCTGTTGAGAGCGTGGGAGGCAGCGGCTTGGACGCCAACGCCAGCTCCGATGCGTCCTCCACCTGTTGATACTTGTGCGCCCAGAGGAACATGGCACCGGCCGCAGCCGTCGCGCCCACCAGCAGATTAATCACAGGCTTAACAGCCTCCTTTTCCTTTTTACTCTTCTTGTTCTTCTTGCTCTTCTTCGTCACAGCTTCACCCACCGAAGCGCGTGCAAACACAGCGTCAGCACTGCTGGGCAGACTGAATGTGAGGGCCGGCGCGTCGTGCTCCGTCAGCTCCAAGTCGTACATATTGACGAAACGTGCGCCCGCAGTTGCTGCGAAAAGGAACCTGGACGACTCGATGCCGGTCTCCACATTAGCGAACCGCAGCTGCGTCACAGCAGTCGACAAGCCTGACACGAGCTTCCTGCTCTTCTTGCCCGAGGATAAATCGAACGTGCGCAGCGCCGAGCCGCCGACTGCCAGAATCTCTCCGTCCGCTGAGACTGCGAGCGCCGACGCGCCGCCCGAACCGCAGCGGAATTTTCGCTCCACTTTGCCATTGCTAACGTTCCATTCAAGTACGTGCTTGTCACTCGAGCTCGAGTACAGCAGCGAGCCCTGAGGGTTAAAGGTTAAAGCCTGTACGGCGCCCGAGCCGTGCACTGCGTCCGCCTGAAGCGTGTGCTTGACCTCACCCGTGGCCAAATCCCAGACTACGACGATGCCGCTGCTGGTGCCTAATGCCAGTAGTCCTAGGCCGCTGTCGCCGCTGCGCTTCTTGCCCTTGGTTTTAGGCTGTGTCCATGCCAGACTCGTGTAACGGTAGCTGAGGTGGTCGCGTTCCTTAAGCTCCTGCTGCAACGCGCCATTGGACACGTCCCACACTTTAAGGCGGCCGTCCTCGGACACGGCCGCGAAGTGCGTCTGCGAGTCGGCGAAGAGCTGCATGGCGAAAGAGCCAAGTCGGGTAGTGATGCTGGCTGGAGCTCTCAGAGCCAATTCTACTGGAGCAGAGCAGCCCAAGTCGAAATGAGAGGTAGTTCAAATGAAAGGTATTGGAAGTGGTACACTTAATTATGTGACGTGATACAGATTTCTTTATGTTGAAGGTGTTGAAGGTGTTGAAGTTGTTGTGAGGCGGCGTACGTTGACACTTTCGGCGGTGAGACTTTGGAGGGGGAAGCAAAGCGTAGTTCGTCGCTGCTCGCTCTTCATGATCGGTCTTGGGAAGTGGTTTGGCCGTTGTGCAACGAGAGCTGGAGATTGTGGGAACACCTCAGAATTTCTCACTGGTACTTGGTAAGCTGCTACTGATACTCGTAGCCGTGGTTTGTGTGGACAAGTGCGCGTTGTTGTCAATGCTGATAGATTAATCGGGGATGGCGGCGGCTCGGTGTACAGCTTTATGCGGTAGCCACCGCCCATACGCTTGATGGACATCGGACTTCGAGGCCAATGCGGCATTATTTGACGAAGTGAAAACATCGCTCTCTAATTAAGAGAAGTGACCATTTGTTGAAAAAAAAGGATTGTGATAGGCTAAAATAGAAGCTCGCTTTGGAGAAAACTTCGCTTACGACAGGTAGTAAGGATGCCTGATGTGATTGGATTAGCTAGAAATCCGCTGTGGGGTACATGAATGTTTGTTGCTTCTCGTCGAGAACTTGCGAACATGAATCTTCGCTGTGGTGTGTACGGCGAAGGGAGCGTCTTCTCCGTCAACATCGATCACAATGCAGACGTGGAGGCGCTGCAGGAGAAGATTGCAAGTAGATACAGAGTCGTCAGCAACCGCGTTGAGATTTTCCCAGCCGCGTTGACGCTGTATTTGGCGCGGAAAGCGGGTGGCACGTGGTTGAAGGACGACCGTAATGTGAAAAAATTATTGCGAGGCAGTATCAGCAATGATTACAAGGAGATGCATCTGTCGTGGAATCTCAACAAGGTGGAGTTGTTTGGACCAGATTTCGCCCTCGGTGAGGAAGTGATTCATGTGCTGGTGGAACTTTTATCCGCAGCTGATATTTTGCCAAACAAGCGACAACATACGGGAAGTGTGCCGCGAATTGAGAAGGTCGAAGATGTGCCTCAGATTAAAATCCAAGGGGTGCAATATGTGACGCTGCCAGCTGCATTTCTCGAGAAGTGTGGTTACAGAGTCTCGGATGACTTGATGCTGTACTGTCGTCGTGAAGTGCACGATCTGTGGGGCTTTGTAAAAAATGAAGTCATTGCTAAGAATGCAAGAGGATTCATTGTTGGACCACCTGGCATAGGCAAATCTGTGGCTACGCTAAGTTTTGTGGCCTCTTTAGATCACCAGGAATGGAACGTCGTCTGGATTCATTTGGGATATCTTATGATCTCATGTCTGGCACTTGGGATCAAGAAGTATTGGCTTATTGATGACCTATCGACATTTGAGCTCCCTCGAGTCCCCGGCAGAAAGCTTTTGATTTGTGTGGATGGATATAAAGTCGTTGACGACAACAAGGCTTTTTTGAGACGAATTTATGCGCGTCTTGTCGAGGACGAGAGACTTTTGGTGTGCTCCTCGATGGCCACACTTGGTAATTTTAATAGGGAAGATGCTCACGCGGAGGACATCCGCGTGTTTTTCATGTATTCATGGACGCAAGGCGATTATCTTGCAGCCATCGCCAATCAGACTTTTTATGACAAGACCGCGTCAAAGTTGGACGCAACAAGTCCCAACGAAGTGAATGAGGACGACAATTTCGAAGCAGAATGGAGTGAGGAGGACAAGAAGCAGTATGCGCTTGATTTGAAGTTCTACTATGCTGGCGGATCATGTCGGTTCATGTTTCAATACCCCACGATTGAAGTGATAGACTGTCTAAAAACTGGGGTTCAATCTGCCGCGAACCAGGTCAGATCTTGTCAAATACTGCGGTGGCTATTGGCACACTGATGCAATCGACAGGCTTTACGGGATGCATCTGACGGCGATGGTAACGCTCGGTTCCCCGTGAGCTCGTATGCGGCCTCTCTCTTTGCGGAAGAATGTGACGAGCAAACCATTGTGCAGTTGGCGGCTCGTCTTAATGGGTCAAACAACCTGCGGTGGATGACCACCTCTTCGAGTGGCTGTTTTTGGCATCTGTTCCAAAGCGTGCAGTGAAATTATTCGGCGACCACGAAGTCGGAGACGTTCTGCCTCAAGCAAATGTTCTTCGTTTCGATCCGAAGAAACAATTTAAAGTGCTATCAGATGAAAAAATTAAAGGCGACGGGAGTTGGTTGCAGCCGACGGTGTGGAACCAAGGAGGCTACGATGCGATGCATTTTGACAAGGACAAAGGCAAGGTCATCTTTGTCCAGGTCACGCGATCAGACAAACACGATTTCAAGATACGCTTCTTTTACGAAGTGCTACTCAAACTAGAAATGGCAAGAATGAAGATAAAACAAGTGGTGATCTATTTTGTGGTCAAGCCGTCTCAGTATATGAACTTCAAGATGGACCACATTGAGAATCGCGACGTTTTGTTTAAGTTTGATAAGAGTTGGACCCGTCCAGAAGAAAAATATGTTTAAGTGCGCGCTTTTGAAGCCCCTCCAGTCTAGTTCCTTAAACGTGCCCCTGGCAAAGACGTTTTCCAAGGATCTAAACCTCGTGATTCTATCACGTCGCATGGTCAACAATGTCATCGCAGGCTTCGCTTTTTATCTCACAACTCCAATTAGTTTATCAATTTCCAGATGTAAATATTAAAAAAAACGAGCTGGTCCGCAAACCGATTTGGAATGCGTGAGCGCTGTACCGGTACGTGGTCATTTCCATGCTTGCTGACCACCCGGACATAGAGGTCAAGCTAATGAAGTACCCTCAATCGAGTACCAGAATACAGCTTGAGTAGAACTGCGGAGGGGCTGACGCAGCCATTGAACACAAGCTTTTTCTCTGCTGCCACAGGAAGTTCCTCTTGTCAGGAATAAAGTTTGGTCATAGTGGACGCGGAGCGTTCGTGCTATATTTGTCAAGCTTCACGGTCTCGCCGTCTTCCTGGACTACCTTAACGGACTTAGGTAGGCGTTAGTTAAATTGTTAGATGGGAAGCTACGCCTAGTGCAAGGAGCTCCATGATGGCGTTGGTTGAATCGCTAGATGAGAAGCTAGCTTCGTTTAAGCTGCCGTTAACATTAGCTTGTCTGCACCACGCTTGACGTGTCCATCTGACGGAGACATAGGATAAGCTGATCATCTGTAGCATTTTTATAGCACTGCCCAACCTTGTTTCGGTCTTGCGGGCAGGGCTTAATGGTAACTCCAAAATCGGTGAAGTTAATATAGTGATAATATCACCTTCAAATATAAAATAATCACCTAATATTTTCTTCTCAGACTAAAATAATATTATTTACAATTAATTTAGTATTTGCTAGAACGATATTAGGTTATTCAAAGACTGCATAATCGATATTAATACACCAATCATTTGCAGGGCTAACGGTAACCAAATATCATATCATTTTTTAAAGTGATAGTACTATTTTCGATTTTAAATACTATAGGAACTCATTCTTCTTAAGTTAACATTTTATTTTAAAATAAACTCGAGGATTTGAAAAATATTAGATAACAGATGTACTGTTATGATATTTTTACTCAAGTATGTTTTGTTGCTCTGCTGAGTGAGCCGAGGGCTCACAAAAGAACTCTTTCGGTCAGTATTCTAGAACAGCACTTGGCTTTAAGACTGACGAGTAATTGCTCTAGTATCTCACTGTGACACATACAAAGGCGATCGAAATGGAAAACTGCAAGCGCTTGCAGGTGTTTAATGTCGATAGAGCGAAATCAAGGTAAATGTTCTTGTTCTCCTCGTCCACGTCGTGCGTCTAATAAACTTGCATCATGTAACGCTGTATTAATGCGCTCAGCAGTGCCAATACACAACGCCAACCTTGCCGTCACTCTCACAATTGTCCCGGACTCCATCTCCCCCACTGTCGATTAGTATTACTTCAGCTAGTCGAGCGTTAACGACATCTGGTTATGTGAATTTAAGCATCTTTGAGAAAATAATATTGTATGAGCTAATTTGTAGTTAATAATTAATAATATTATTGTGCCTCAGAAGAAAAAAAGGTTGTATTTTTTATATTAGCTGGTCTACAGGTGATATTGATATTTTCACAATATTAACTTCATCGGTTTTGGAGTTACCATTAACCCCTGATCATATGTCGTTAAAGCTCGACTAATTGAAGTATTACTATTCAACAGTGAGGGAAATGTAGTTCGGGACAATTGAAACAGTTGGCGCTGACCTGGATCACCCCCCACCGGTCAGATAGGGAGGACGTCTAAAAACTCCACAGATTATGGTAGTAATCCACATCGATGGGGTTAATCCACAGATGTGCAAACGCTGTCCACAACGTCTTGTAAATATAAACAGCTCGTAGGACAAATCAATCCACCACATGTCGGAGCCTTAGCTAGATCTAGTTTAGGCTAATTACAGCTTGGATATGTGTCACAGCGTGATTGGTTATAAATAGACGAAGGCCTAGCGTGTCCGTGGTCACAGGGCGGACAGGTGGTAGTGTTCTCCTCCCAATCAACGTCCAACAACAAACCTCTTGCAGCAACCACACATTCTGCATGCTGAACAAGCCCATTACGCGTTCTGCTCTCTCAAACCATAGTTGGTTGCCCTCCTGCAGAGCTCGTGTGCCTCAACGGCCTGTGGACCGTCCACTCCCCCTTGCGTTTGTTTTGCTACGACTGTACGGACAAATAACGCTATTCACACTCTGTGAGAGGAAACTGATCGTATTCGTGTCACATACGCACTCTAAAATGAAAAAAAAAAACCTGGGCTTTTCTTCACCGCCCGGTGGGGGAGCTCGAAGGCCAGCGCATACTAGAAAATATGAAGCATGTAAAGGGACACACCGTTACCGTCAGCAACACGTCAAACTGCACAGTGTGTACAGATTCTTCACCCCACACCATGCGGAATCGGGTTGTGTTCTGTGTTTCGACAACATGTGCAGCTGCGTGTGTCGCACCGCTGAAATGCCTATAGAAGTGCAAAATGCTCATTTGTAGCAGTTTGACGAACAATTACTAGATTGGTTCCCATGAAGTTGGAGACAATGATCGGCCTACTGAAAGTCTAATATGTGAACTAAAGCAAACTGCGCACCAGATGGCAGTTAATGGCCTGAAGCCCGCAAGAATTCGGAATGCGCTGTCTGTAGGCACGCCAGAGGATAGAATACCGCATCTTGACAAAGTGCAAAACTTTGTGACATATTGCCGCAAGACTGCTTTGAACAACACCGACGGGAAGGAAATTGTGATGAAAATAGTCAAAGGAAAGGCCTACAGCGAACTAGATAAAGATAGCACTGCGTTTGCATTTTCGTGTGAGGTGGATTCACGTGAACAGATAGCCGTTGGTGACGGTACCAGCAATAACGCATTTTTTATCGGTTTGACAGCGTCTAAATCGGCTTGATCGTGATCCGAACAGCTTCATTTTTTATTTCAATGCAGCACACAAGTTGAACCAAGTGGATTACCCGGTCTTTGTCTGGGAAATCTCAGATCATGCTCGATGCTTTCACTTAGTTGCCCTATTTGTTGCGTCTTAGCAAGAGAAACACCATTACACGTCTGCTCTTGTCTCTCTACGATCAATCTACGCTCGTGCTCTCGAGAAACCCATGCTAGTACGATACGCCTTAGGGGATGCGGACGGAGCCCAATACAATACCATAACATCCGTGTTTGAGGATTGCGAGTTGGATATTTTGGTGTACTTCTATCATGTTATCGCTAAAGTTTACGAGAGATCTAACTACATCCACCCAGGCAAGCGTAGTCTCGTAGTAGCCGACATATTTGATATGCACTATGCAAAACCTGCCTCGGAAATCTATGCTAAGAAGACGTCAGCTGTGAGGCGGTGGATTGCGGATCCAGAAACAGAGCGATTTGGCAATTTTTTCTCAAGCAGTGGCTGAATGGTAAATTCGTGAAGGGCAATGTTATCGTACGCCAGTCGGATGGGCAGCTACAAATAACCCAGTGGAAACATTTAATGCCAAGTTAAAAAATATATATGGAACGCATGCTGATGGGTTTTCTGCTTGGCCAACTGCAACGCTGTTGCCGGATGGAAAGTATATCGCCAGCTCAAGTTAAGGAGAAGCCCAAAGCTAGCGACAGACTTCGACGTCGTGCAACAGCATTGCGTCGCCAGAACCTCCTCGTTGAATCACCATGTACTGACGTACTTGACGATTACGTACTAGTCATCTTAAAGACAACTCCTAGAATTTTCGTAAGACCGAAGAAAAAAAACTGTGGAAGCTGTGGATGCTGCTGTGCAGCTCGGAGCAAACGGGGCTAGAATGGAGCGTGTCGAGCAGCTCGAAGCAGATTGGCCTGTTGATGCGATCAACCGGAGACGCCCGTGCAAATACTTTTTCCACAAAAGATATTGTATTCACCTTCTCTTCGCTTTATACGTGCGCTTCGGTTCCGACCAGCCAGGGAAACGGACAATGTTTAACTGGAGACGACATACCAAGAGGAAGACGTTGGAGAATCAGATCACGGAAGCTGTTGCAGCAAGTGAGCCAAAACGTGGACAGTCTATTCACAACGGGCCCGCGCTAGCGTTCGTGTAAATATTAGCGGCTCGCACGAGATATAACTGCACGAGTAATCCAAGTTCAATAAAATAAAGACCCACTTTTGCCTGACGATATGTCGAATATTGTGCAGATGAAGCGTCGAGATGTACGATGTACATCGCGTAACTGTAATTCCAGCAGCCATATAGCTCAATAGCTGTGACAGACGTCTGTAACAATACTACCGATAATATAATACGTCTGACAATCTGAATAGTTTATACGCTTTATACATCAGCTGTTGTTAAACTCGTTGTTCTCTGTATCATACGTTGAATAAGGATGGCGGCACCGCATTACACTATATTATGCTGTCGCCAGAAGGTTTTTTTTACAGACGACTGCTGTCGGTGATGGCAACAACATCGCCGAGCGTGTTCATGATCATCTCCGCTCGACATATACCTCACTCGTAAGGTGAACGGAGCCTCCTCGTTAATTTAATGTCTACTCTTTGTGATGAGCCTTTCTCCGCCAGCAAGACCTCGATATGATATCATGAATGCGACAGATAGCATTAGTTCAAGTCAAGGATATTCATTGTCAGCTGAATGTTATTCCAATAAGCACCATCAAGGTGACGGAACTGGCTCAAAGAGCAAACATCGCGTCCTTTCAGCTCTAGGCGTGATACCTTGTAGGTAGACGGCTTTGCCACGGATTACTGTGAGCCCATTCCGGATTCACAATAAGTCTCGTCGAGTTAATGTGAGTCAGTCCAGGATTCACAAAAAGTCGCGATGAGTTATTGTGAGTCCACCCCGGTTTCACGATAAGTCACGCCGAGTTATTCTGATTTCACCCCGGTTTTACGATATGTCGCGCCGAGTTATTGTGAGTCCACCCCGGTTTCACGATAAGTCGCGCCGAGTTATTGTGATTTCACCCTGGTTTCGTGATAAGTCGCGCCGAGTTATTGTGAGTCAGCCCGGTTTCACAATAAGTCGGCGCCGGTTATTGTGAAGTACTGATTTCCATAATTTACCGGTAAGACTGAGAAAATCGGATACGTCAAATGTGTGGTCCTACACTTCTGTTAGATAAAGATTGTAGTCCAAGACAATGATGGCAAAGCGCGCGTGCGCTCAAATGACTGAACGAGAGAGAATCAGCCTGCTTAGGCGGTGGAAGGCGCACCCCGAATGGAGTGTGCAGGATGCCGTCCACGAGCTAGGAGTGCCGGAGTCTATTATGAGGGAATGGAGAAAGAAGTACTGGGAGCGTCTGGATGAAGCCGGGTCGGAGCGCAAGCGGAGAAAAGGTGGCGGCCCCAAACACAGAATGAAGCCGTATGAAGGGAGGGTCATCGAATGCTTTGAAATTTTACGTGCAAGTGGCAGAGGTACATTTTCAAAGATTTTGTTTTACTGTAGGAATATCGATGTTTTTTTAGGAATTTCCAATTTCGAGCTCCCAGAAGACGTGGGTTGGGCGGTTCATTAAGCGCTATTCAAGAACAAAAACAGACCAATCAAGCCAGAACTCACCCCGGATGATAATGTGGAGGTTACCCAGTCAGACAGAGCGCGCGTCGTAAGCGACGACGATACCCGGTCTTCAGGCACATCGTCGGTGCCCCCGGCAACAGCAACGTGCAATGCACTGCGCAGGCGGGCGCGAAAAACGCTGTACCGGGGACGTTCGGTGGGAGTGCTCAGCATGTCGCGGATGAAACGGCTCACGGCCCCGAACAGCCTGGCGGTTCGGACATTGCGGAGAGCGGCAGGTTGGATAATCTCCAAGCCAGTGATCCAGAAAATCCAAATTTGGCATCCCTGGCAGGGTGTTTCTCGGCCTCACCCACGTTATATACAGCAATGCTGTGTAAAAGCTAACGGATTCTTCATTTGACAAAACATACGAAAATATTGGCCTCTATGCTAATGAAAGTTCCCACTTGTGAAATTTCGCCACTCGAGGAAGTGACCTTTGTTTTGCTTTGGGCGCTTATTAGGAGATGCGAGCAAAAGGTGAGCGCGCTACAGAGAAAAAAAGGACTTCCAGAAAAAGGAATTTGCCTGGAGATTGACAGCTTATGTATCCTGACTACATCTACTATCGCAACTATGAAGCAATGACACACCGCAACCAAAGCGGTCGGCGCGGTTCCAATAGAGAACTTTAGTTTCTGGAATAAACTTTACTGATATATGGGACCAGTTTCTTGCTCGAGTGATATTCCAAAGGTACACTTTGAAGTTTAGGCAGGTTGCCGTACACTGTGCCATAGCCGTAGAGGCTAGGGTAAGAAACTACAAAATTGAACAGGGGAGAAATGCGATGCCGAAGAGAAGGAAGCGCGCTTCCGCATCTTAGCGCTGTACGCGATGGGATATGAAGCCGAAGCCGCCGCGCTGTACGCAGCAGAGTTCATGCATCACCAGGACCTGTCATGGCAACCTTTTTGGTCTTGGATTCGGTGCGCTTGCTTTGTACCAAGGTTTCATCGTCCTTCTTCTGAACGTAAACCTCCACCAAGCGCTCCAGCTCGTTTTCGTCGACAGACTTGTGTGGTTCTTGGCCTGCGGTATACATGGGTGTAGTCTACACACAACCAGCGAACAAAATTCCGTAGCATAAGTCATACCTGACATGGCTCGCTCCTTTGCGCGCTTCGATCGGTACTCTTTTTTTTCAACTTGTCAACGTGCTTGCGTACACCGCCAGCAGACAGCTCCTTGCTCAGCGCTGAGCCCAGACGCTCCGTAATTTCGACCCACCGCTCCGGCTTCGAGGCGTTATGAAGCTAGAAGATCCCGTCATCACCAACCACCTCGTTCATGAGCATGCAGTCTGCTTTCACCGAGTACGTGATGCGCTTTTTGCGGGCTTTCTCGCTCTTGTTTACTTGACACAGTCGCTTGAGCAGAGGGTCTCGTCATCGCCTCCACCACTGCGTACGGGTGGCGCTGCCACGACTTGCAAGACTTGTGGCTCGTCACCGTCCAGCTCGACGTCTGACTGCATTATCGTAGTAGTTAGCGACACGTTGTCCGGTGACACCATCGGAATGAACACGTACTGTAGTCTCTGAAGGTATCCAGGTAAGGAGCTGATTAGCGCGTTTGTCCAATGCTCTGGGGCTTCTGTCGGCTTTTACCTGGAGTCGCGCGGGGGGTCGTGGCTGGCGCCGAGATTTTGCAGGTTGGTTGACTCCCTTTGCCCAAGGTTGCCGCACGCAATTGGTGCGATATCACCTAGACTGACGTCGAGTTTATCGGGTTATAGGGTTTTACAGGAATCCGCTGAGCTATGGCACTGGAATATCTCGACCCTCCTGTATTCCACTGGAACAAGCTTTTGGTATATAAATATGCAAGTTACGTTTTAAGTACGATTTTATTGCAACATTTTATTCCAAGGTGACGATATATACCAGAAACTAAAGTTCTCTAATGGCGCTGTCTTGGATTTCAAGCATCGATTTCAGTATGCACGTCAGCCCTGCTTTTCACATCCAAAGAAGTCCCCGGCTTGAAGGAAACCTAAAATCTACTCCACTATTTTCTCCTCAGATGCGGATCTCAATGCAGATATTTTGGATAACTTTTATTTACTTTTTTTGGATGGAGTTTCTCGAGCTCATAGGTAACGGATCTCTTGGGGACGCTACAATTGCAATGCTGCTCGACAAGTTGTTTTTGGGTCGCCCAAATGTCGTTACCATTAAGCCGACCAGCCTCAGTGTTGTGGTTGATGGAGCTGTCTCCATCAGCATGATAAAATCTGACCAGGTAGCTCTCTGGTTTGACCAACGAGCTCATTCTTCTGGCAATCAACTGCAACGGTGTGCATTAGTGTAGCATCATGGTAAGGCTTCACCAATGCGAGATCGCCATCTACGATCCGATGTGTTCAAGCTACCGCCAAGGTGTTCGGGATGTTGCCCATACGATAGCACGCAGCGAGTAAGTCTCGCTATCGTATTCGTCAATACGAGTCTGATATCGGAATTTAGACTGATAGCTACAACTGCGGGGTATTTGTAATGGCGGCCTTTAAAATGTTTTGCGGCGCGGATTCACCATGTGAAGGCAGCAAAAGTCTAATTCAAAACCTTAGGTACATATACACGTGTATGTGCTTTAACATTTGAAGCTTTACTTAAATGAGGAGGTTTACTTCACATGAGTACCTTAGCATCGTTTGGCTTTTATGCCTGGTCTTGTTGTGAAACGGGATGCAGCCACTGCCACGTATCCACGCCTCCATGTAAGGAGAACGAAAGGGAAGACATGATCAGGTACGTGGGTGCCATATACGCGGACGAGACCACCTTGACGTTGACTGTGTACTTCTTAGCTCACGGGTGCGTATACGATTTAGCTGGTGCGTGGGCCGAATTGATGACTATCCGCTGAGGACACTGGTGGCCATCGTGCCGTCCAAAGGCCCCGTGATGGCAGCGCGGGGACTCCCTTGTCGTCCTGGCGGCCATAGGCGGTTTCAGGCAGGAAGCCCGGCAGTAAACTAGCATCTGGTCCCTTCTGATGCTGCACGCGCGCAACGAGCAGTGCTGACGGTGCGACTCGTACTCCTCGCGCAAGTACACTAGGCAAGGAACCACAGGGCTTCGGGTATGTACGTGATCCAGGAGAGAGAGATTGAGAAGTATAAGTCTGTGCGCGTGTAAGTGTGGACCACGCAAAACATCTTTCTCTAGTTCCCGTTTCCTGGTCTTTTTCTACAGTACAGTCCATGCATTCATGAAACGATCGGCCTGGTGTCGCCGGTTACTGTGGAGTGGAGACACGGTGTTGTGGATTATCCCTCTAAATCCTGTGGGTTTTGTCATATATCCTCGTCAGATAGGCGGCTTCACCAATAAGGATAAATGAAGCCATCGTGAGACACAAATAAGTAGCCAATCCATTAAGATAAAACAGCCTGCACAGGGGAAGCCCTCTGCAGCCTGCACCGCTCGCGCGATGATAGTCTACTGGTAAATAGAGTTCACATCTCCTTTTGCCAGCGACTGAGCGTATCAGTCTATAAGGGCATTAAGAGAATAAATATAGAAATTAAGTTTAGCTAAAACTGGCCGTTTAGCATTTTAAGTTGGAAACTCAAGATGACCAAGGATAACAAGAGAAACTTTGTTGAACTCAAGATCAGCGGAAAGTCAGGCGATTTTCAGCGCTGGAAATATGCGGTGCTAACCCATCTGACAGACAGGACGAATTATCGTCGTGTCGCTGAAATCAAGGATAAGCGCCCCCCGCCCCGTGTTGGGTACGAGGATCTGCTGACTCGGCCCATCCAAGTTGCGGAGCCGGGCACAGGAGCGACTGCTAAGGAGCAGGAGCAATGCCAGCTGGAGATGGCGCTTCTGGTTAAGCAAGAGTCCTACCTTTGGGGCCTCTTCAATCAGACACTGCCTCATCGGGACATGGCGCAATTAAGTACACCGCTGATGTCACAGACAGTACCCGCGTTCTGACAGCAGCTTGAAGCTGGTTTCGGCAAGAACAACGCGATGAGCATGGTTGACATGTATCAAGAAATTGATGCTGTCCTGGATATGGCTTTCGCCAATGTGACAGAGCTGTTTCAGCGTCTGCGCGGTGTACGCAACAGGCTGAACCGACTCGGCCAAGAGGTGATTCGTGTACACCTGCTGGCTAGTCAGCTCCTGATTGGTAAAATACTGACTCTGTTGCCAAGTCACTTATGGGGGCCAAGCGTGACGTTTGCGCCTGAAGAATTCACCTTGGAAAAGGTGGAAAGAGCGTTGAAGGCAATTTTTGGTAACAAGAGTAAGACCGAGATACAGTCCATGGGTAAGCCGGGTCATTATCCAGCCCCTGTGCCGATGGAAGTCAACTTTGCGGCACAGCGACCAGGAATATGAAAGAACCCCACAAGACACCGGTCAAGCGCAAGCAGGCGTCTGTATCTGTGAATGATGAGAATGCATGCTACTATTGCAGCGGGGTGAACGGAATCGGGCCGCACTATAAGAAGAATTGCCTAAAACGACAGGCCGACAGAAAGGCAGGAGTTGAGAGAGGCAACATCTTCAGTGATGGGGGCATACTCAAGGTTCAAAGGACGAGTCGTGGCAAGGCACAAAAGGTACAGCCTCCACAGAACGAGACTCGAAAAGAGATTCCGGTGGATGCAGCCAGGTTACGGCGCAATTAGGCACACAAAGTACAAATGGGTCAGGCTACGGAGAGCATGAAGCTCTGGTAGATGCGGCCGCACTACAGCGCCTCAACATATCGGGTGCGACGTCAGCCGCCTCAGGTAAAGACGAGTCAAAGGCATTGGGGCTAAGTGACTTACCACTGACGGCGCGAGGCACGTCGCCAGCGTCACCAGTGGTATCAAGCGACCCACCAAGCGCCAGTGGCGACGACATGCATGAATTTGACGGCGCAAAAGTTACGCCTGTCAACACCACGTTAGTCACGTCTGCTGCTAGAGAATTAAAGAAAAAGGGCGAAGCCTTCGAGGAAAAAGTTAGTAAACTGTATCCTTTTCTGTTAAAACCTTTAGCCACGCTAACAGAAAACTGTTGGGTTTGGATACAGGATGCGGGTATGGATTGACTGGACACTCGTCGGTCTTCGTGGCCAAAGAGCATAACACAGACTGCATATTTACATTTGGACAAGGCTCTAAACTAAGAAATACATTTATTGGTACCAATTAATTATCGTGTATGGGTCCAACGGGGGTTAAGTCAATACAGTTTGGAAATATTGCATTAGTACCTCACGCAAAGTCCAACATTTTGAGTGAATATTGGATTAACAGTCAGGGTTTTAAATGTTAGCCAGTAATAGAGGCTTGCACAAGCTCATTTTGTGGAAGCACACACTATTGTTAGTAGCAAAGGCATACAATGGAGAGTACTATGTGCAAGATAGTACGATAAGAGAAAGACAAAGAACATGCAATGCTATTAAGGTAATGCCTCGCAAACCACTGGTTATTCCAAACCTTAGTAAAATTGAGAGCCTAATGAAAGAATGGCATGTGCGATTAGGGCACATTAACAAAGAGAAGCTTATTACTATGATGAGTAACCAACTCGTTAAAGGTATCCCATGCACTGAGAGTTGCAAGCTAAGAAAGATATTTTTTGTGCTCAACATGTGCAGAATAAATATGAGAAGGATGTCTTATAAAAACCTTCAGGGTGGTCGAGACGAGCATCCTATAAGGACCATCCACATGAACACAAACGGACCTATGAAAACCATGGGTGTGTATGGAGCAGTAGGAGCAATACGATACTTTCGGAGCATAACTGCTGACCATTCTTCGTGGCGTTGGACATACGTGCTACGAAATAAAGGAGCGGTCATGATTTGGTCCAAAAATAGATCCCAATTCCGCGAAATGTAAAATAAGCTTTAAGAGGTCCATATGGTAAGCAATGGCGACAAGCGCTAGACATCGAGTACGATTCTCTTATCGACAATGGCACATGGGAACTTGTGCGACTGCCACCTGGCAGAAGAGCACAACCATGCCATTGGGTACTTGTGGTAAGATATCATGCAAACGAGGTAGTTGAACAGTTTAAGGCGAGGCTAGTGGCACAAGGAAACCACCAAGAATTCAATGTTGATTGTGATTAGGTGTATGCGCCAGTAGCACGATTTGAATCACTAGGACTCGTATTAGTCATTGGTACGATATTCAACTGTCACATTCATCAGAGGGACGTTCATACAGCATTTTTAAATGGAACAATAGAAGGCAATACAACAATCTAAATGAGACAATCTCCTGGGTATCATGTTGAAAGTAAACGGGTACACTGCACGGGTCGCGCAGACCAGAAGAGAGTGCGTCGGGCAAGTACCACTGCAGATCTTTAATTGGTGCCAAAGTGGTGTGGCGCTGTGTGCGGTCGGTGAATCTGCAAGGGGACTTCTTTAGTGGCTCTGAGAGCGACACGTGTAGGAGCGGATTGATACCGAGGTAAAAGCGATTTAATCTCACTTCATCTTTCATCTTCTACTACCTACTGCGTTTCTCACCGACCTGCG